ACTGTGGGACTCGATCCCAGGACCCTGAGATCATGACCTGAGCCGAAGGCGGAGGCTTAACCTACTGAGCCACCCAGGCACCCTGACTTCATTTTATATAAAGGTTGGTGTGCTTTTTGGATGTGCATGTTTACATCTTTAATCAAATTTGGGACATTTTGGGGCACCTGGGTGGCTCAGTGGGTTAAAGCCTCTGCCTTCGGCTCAGGTCATGATCCCAGGGTCCTGGGATCGAGCCCCACATTAAGCTCTCTGCTCAGCAGGGATCCTGCTTCCCCCTCTCTCTCTGCCTATCTCTCTATCTACTTGTGATCTCTCTCTCTGTCAAATAAATAAAATTAAAAAAAAATTTTGGGGACATTTTCAGCATTATTTCTTCCAATAATTTCTTCAGATTTTTTTTGCCTTCCCCCACACCTTTTCTCCTTGGACCCGCATGATGCATATATTGGCTACCTTGATGATATCCCAGAAGTCCTTTAGGCTGTTTGCTTTTCCCTAATATTTTTTCTTTCTGTTCCTCATACTCACTAATTTTCATTGTTCTATATTCAAGTTCCTGGAGGCTTTCTTCTGCTGCCTTTGGATCCCTCTAGTGAATCTTTCATTTCAGTACTTTTCAGGTCCAGAATTTTTCTTTTTTAGATTTCCACTCTTTATTGATATGTCCATTTTGTTTGTGCATTATTTTCCTGACTTTCTCCACATTTTCCTTTAGTTTTCGAGCATCTTTAAGGCAGTTGTTTTAAGGTCTTTGCCTAGTATATCTGCCATTAGTTCTTTTTCAGGGACAGTTTCATTGATTAATTTGTATTTTCTTTGAATGCTCCACACTTTCCTATTTCTTTGTATACCTTTTGATTTTGGTGTTGTTGCTTCAGTTGGCCATTTGAATCTAGTAAGTGTGGTAACTCTGGAAATCAGATTATCTCCCCTCCCCAGGGTGTGCTGTTTTGTTTTGTTTTGGAGGTTATTTGTTTATTTTTGATTTTTGGTTTTTGGTATTGTTTTTTTTTTTTTTTTTTTTTTTTTTTTTTTTTTTTTTTTTTTTTTTTTTTTTTTTTTTTTTTTTTTTTTTTTGGTATTGGTTTTTGATTGTTGTATGTCATCTCTGTGATCTAAGACATTGTGTTCCACTTCCAGATCATAGAGTAAAAAGATATCTCTGCAGACCCATTCCCAAGTAAAAGAAGTAAAGCTGAAAAATAACATTTGAAATCCCACAACTAAATATTTACAATATGAAACATATCCTAAGGTCATATAGCAAGTGAAATATTCTTCCAAAAAAAATTTACTGAAACTTGGCAAGAACATCAGGAGTCTGGCCTTTAAAATATGGCCTGTTCCCTCCTCCACTCTGGAGCTCCCCTTGATAGAAGCTTCATTATAGGTAGGTGTGACCAAGAAGATGGGGCTCCCTCTCCCTCCAGGTCTTGATCAAGTGTTGCTGTATCTCAGAGGGAGGGAGAGAATGCAAGTGTTTCTCATCCTTACCAACTCAGTTGAAGAGGCTAAATGCCTGATGAGTATAGTTGAGTACTTAGGGACTTCTGCCACCAGCCCCTACCCTACATAGGTGGGGTACTCTACTCAAGCACAGTAAGCTCAGAATAATGGGACCTGACTGTCCTCATCTCAGGTCACATTTTAGACAGATTCTACACTGAGAGAAGCAGGATGAGAAGCACAATGCCCAGAATAGTTGTTCAGAGATTTTGCCCAGAGGGAATAGCAGTCTGTAAGAAAAGAGCTCTGAAGCTCTCTCCAAAGGAACTGATTTTATTTGAAACAGTATAGGAAAATTCAAGGCTGAGGGCAATGTTAAAGCAAATAGTTCCTCTCAATTAAAAATAATAACCAAAACCATAGAATAGCTATTTCATCATACACAACTGGGGCCTGAGCTAATAATTACTATATATTTTAAGGCCAATGGCATGATTACATAAATATTTTTTCCATACAACTTTTTAAATCTCCTAGGAAGAAATATGAAGCTATACTGTATTATATACTGTACTTTTTACACTGTACTTTTATACTGTACTGTTACTACTTTTGTTTTGATTTTGAATTTCTGTCCAGAATTA